CATGGCTTTTGAGTGCCATATGACCCAAGAATGGAGAATCACGAGAATATTATAGAAATTAACTAATTCGTCAATGAAGAATTATTGCAATTATTGAATATGAAGAATTCTACAGAATTTCATGTTACTTTGTGGCTGATAAAAATTCCCAGTTTTTTAAGGTTGTCGTATCGTAAAATTTTCGTTCGACAGTTTTCAGTTCGTTATGGAATAGTTAAAAAAATTAGCTACAAAATGAGTCCTTTCCGCTTGCGGTTGACTTTTTGGAACTTGAGATATTAATTTTTTTAATTCAAGTGATTTAACACGTGTTTAAATAGAGTTCCACCGATTAGAATTTTTAAATAAATTTATATTATATTATTTATATTATTTCTAAATTTATAAAATATCAACGGCTCGACAGTTTTCGAAATAAAAAAAACATTGAATATATATCGTGGGAGGAAATACAGAAAAAAAAATTAAATTGATTGACCATTTGGTTTACGCGATATAATTATCGAAAACCCATGAATTTATATAATTATAAATAGTTAATATGGAAAATATATAGTTATGCTTTAGCTATGCATGTACAATGCAATTAATCAAGTGCGGCTATATACCGTGAACAGATTGTGTTCTAAACTGGCCCGTTTTACAGCGGACAAACTTTTTGCAGAGACTGTCGCGATACGACAACCTGAAGTGAAACAACGTATGAAAGTTCATCCGCAAAATTCAAGAAAATTGGGATTTTCATCTTGAATGATAAATATTTCTCAATGAAAGCTTGAATTTTTAATAGATTGAAAATTTACGGAAATTATTGATTGGATTTTGGATATGTTCATAGTTTTTCAGTCATAAAGATCTGAAAATTGAGAATTGCTATTTTTAACATTAACCATTAATATTTAAAAAAATTAGTTAATTCGTGAACCTAAGAATCCACCGAAATTGTGTAATTTTGCATCAGTGTTCAATATCTTTTTACTAAAAAGAACCTCTTTACAATGATGGAATTGTACTTAATTGTTAGTGTAATTTGGTTGGTATTAAAATACTGAGTGCATACGCCAGATAAATTTGCAAGGAAGATCGCCATGTATTTTTGAAAAATGGAAGAATTTTGAATGGAGTAAGAGAATATTTTGATGAAAATTGCTACCTCTTCTCCCCTCTGCAACAGAGTACTGATGATTCCCACGTGGCCATACCTCGCAGCTGTATGAATGGATCTTGCACCTCGTTTATTTGGCATGTGCAAGTACACCCCCTTCTTAAACAACATTGTGGCACACTCGGAGTGGCCATTTAACGAGGCGATGTGCATCAGGGTGGAGCCGTCCTTGGTTCTCTCAAAAATACTGGCTTTAAATTTATCAGCTAGAAGTTCAATGACCGTTGCGTGTCCGTTTTCAGCTGCCAGATGCATAGGTGTCCGATCCTGGCAATCTGTGATCGAAGCCGATGCACGAACTCCGTAGAAATATTTCACCAGGGTCTCATCACCCTCGGCACTCGCGATGTGCAGAGGCGTCTGGCCCTCTCCCTGAGGACAATTATCATTATTCCACACTGATAATAGAAATACCTTCTACCAAATAAATAGTCAACAACTAAATTCCCATTTGATATGCAAGTTTTTTCTTCCAGCTATCGATTTATTCGGCAGATGTTATTGCTTTTTGTTGGGGCATGCCCGGGATGATTGGTGCGAGGATAAAATAAAATGCAACAACTTCGGGGAAGATTTGTTGGTGACTGAATGCTCCACCGGGTGAACTCACCTGACGCACTGCGACAATTACCCCTCATATATTACGCATGCAAAAATAACGCCCATGTACCCTCTAACAATAGTAATTAAATTTTCTATGTTTCCCAGGTTTATAACGCGGGTCTATTTTGAGTATGTAGATCACTTTTTGCTGTACAAAACATTCCGGTAAGAACAGGGGAAACGTTTTAGCTTGAGAGATAAATTTTTCAACATAAATTCAAATTAGAGAAATTAAATATCCGACAGTTGTATTCTAATGAAATTCTTTGATCCTTTCATGGGGGAAAGGTTTTGATAAAAATAAAATGTTGTTTTTTATTTTGTTGATTTAATTGGAGTGAGCTGGCGAAATTACTCACGTTTTGCATATCAACTGCTGCTCCGTAATCAACAAGAATCCTGACCATATCAACATCGCGTCTTCTAGCAGCCAGATGGAGGGCTGTGTCTCCAGCTGGTGTTGTTGCTCGAAGTTGCTCTGGTGCCTGTTGAGCCAATAGTTCTCGACACATCGACTGATTTCCCGCCTCCACAGCCAACAGCAGAGGAATTTTCCCTCTCTGTGGATCAATGAAATCATCAACTCCAGAGAAACTTTATCAGTATAAAAATAATGAATAAAAAACCACTAGGTTCAATTGAACGCTATCAGGTTGGAGAGTTCTTAAAATTAAGAGTGATGCTGTTGGGATAAGAAATAATTTTTTTCACATATAAAATCATTTTCCCGGGTTGATTCATACGCACTCGAACGGTTTCGGAGAGGGCATCAAGGGTTGCTTTCCAATTTTTGCTCAAACCCCGACGCTTTTTCTCCGTTATCCCCGA